ACACATACATATAAGTACAGAAAACCATAACCCTCTTTCTGAGGCAGTCGGGTAATAATTTAAACAATGTCGAAATGCGCTTGTAACTAATATGAAGTTAATCACAGTTAGTTTCGAGTCCGGGCAAATGTGAAAATCAAATATGAGAATTCAACATTGTTCAGGAAGGTCAGATTGTGATGCGCTGCCCGTGGGACGAGCTATGCAGTCCAAAGTTTATTATTGGCTTACATACATCATTCGAAATTATTCCTTTGTTGGGCGGACATAATATGCTCGTGAATATCATTGTCTCATTTTCAAATAGGTAAATTGGAAAACTAGAATTGTAAATCAGTAAACACTTAAAAGTACAAAAAATACTAAATTACAAAATAGTTTATTTCAGTAAATTTGCACAAATACAAATGCTGGAGTCTCCTTTTAAGCTTATAATAAGCCTGTATCAGGAGGCCCCGCTCTTCCGCGATGTTAAATAAACAAATCAAAAATAAAGAACAAAATACAGTAAAAAAAAGAACCAAGAGAACTTGGTTTTCCCATCGACTCCGTATTGATTGGCAGCCATTGTGGTGTAGATACAGGCAACAAGCAAAATGGCGCTACTCTCGATTTTTCTTCCCAGTTTATAATTTTTTGTTCACCTTTTGAGACGCCATCTTTACTACTTTCTACATACATACATATACATATCACGCCTATGTATCTTGCGGGGTAGGCAGAGCGTAAAAAGCTGTAAAAACGGCCATTTACACCACGTCTGACAAATGTTTGAGAGTCATTCACACGTACGTATAGATGGGTTAGGTAGCTGTCGAACCACAAAATGATGTAATAAGACAATAAAACACTTTTATATAATTCGCGATTAGCGTTCGCATGGTCCGTCACAGACAGTTGGACAATTAGTCCAAGAACTCCGTAATATGTATATCGTTGTGCATAATACATGCTAAATAGCTACCTACCTTAGAGTATAAATAAGCAAGCTATAGAGTGCGCGTAAGGCCCCTGGCCGTACTGTCAAAGCGTAGCTACCTACATACAGACGTCAAATGTATGAGAATTTTACAGAGGTTCAATAGTACTGTCTCTCACGTTTTACTTCTAATATATAGACAGAGAGGTTGTGTGCAGATTACTGCAAACATTTCTTGCATTCTAGGCGCACTCTATAGTAATAGCACAAATTAGGGAGACAGCGCGTGGGGCACCTTATTAATCAGTGAAAACTGTTGGCACTTTATATGTAGGTAATGTAAAATTTTTGAGACGATCACATTTTAGTCAAATAACCTACAAAGGTCAACCAATACAATTTCACGTGGGAAACGGAACCCTCTTACTGAGACTTCACTGTCTCTCCGTCATCAGGCTGTATCTCATAAACCGTACTAATTAGCCAATTGAAATGTTCCCAGAACATGTACCTAAACTACATACTAAAAATATAATAACATAAAAATTAAGGGGGCTCTCATACAGCACACCTGATTTTATGCCATTTTTAAAGGTACACCTTTCGTGCGCGAGTCCGAGTCGCACTTAGCCTATTTTTTGATAGATCGATAGTATTGCACAATACCGGATCCATGCTCCAGCAGCAGTAACAAAAAATCATTTACTTATTTTCATTTACCGCAGAAAGCACTCAGGCGGAATGCACCCCAAGGCTCACTACCCGCTTTTCCAGCTTTCTATCAAAGTTGAAAATAAAAATAGGGTAGAAGCAGTCGCATGCCAAGAGCACACTCGGGCAGGATATTACCTTCATCCCCCCATCCCCCCACCAGGGCCTATCTGTCTGGTAAAGTTCCACTTCCTTTGTCTACTGCTCTAGGAACAAAGATCTAGTAAGAACTGCAGTTCTGATAAAATCCGCATATATGACTTATTCAATTTGCGAACTATCGTTGCCGTCGTCAGTGAAATGAAATTTTTGTTCTACAAATACCTTCAATGTAGATGTAGTTTTGCCGTGTGATGCCGCCTTAGTAGGTATAGCATCACCCCAATTATGGGTGTCGTAAAAAGCGACCAAGGGATAATTTGTTTTTAAAAGGGGCATTGCCCCATGCACGGTCCGACACACTCTTGGCCGGTTTTTTAAAATAGCTGTTAAAGAAAAGGCCTCATTATAACTCGCTTCTCAGCTGATCAACTGATTATCAAATCGAGCGGAATAGAAAACAGCGATGACGTAACAATAATAATTAACAAGATAACTGGCGAATCTTTAATAGATATTATTTTTTAACCAGTTGATGTTCGCTCGGTTTAAGTTACTTTTGAATAGGTGGAGTTGTTAATTTTAAAGAGGGTAAAGGAACGTTTTTTGAAAAATTAGATACCTATCTAAATCGATTTATCGCCCTTGAAACCGCTCGATACAACATTTCGGGAAAATCGTTGAAGCCGTTTCCCAGACCCTGATTTTACCTATACATATTTTTTTAAATAATTCTTGCTCGTTTAAAGGTATATTATTAAATTAACGCTTCCAGTGCGTATAAAAACATTAACTTGATGAGCCGGCGATGAAGCCTATGATATCGCAGTGAAAGTGTTACCTCACTTTCTAAAGCTTAGAATGATTGCGATTGTCGGCGATGTCGGTCTCAGAACGTTCCCACATTTGAAAAAATGTTTCTTCAATTATATTGTTACATCATAGAAGAAAAACGTAAGTAGCATGCGCTAAATAAACATTCCGACGTAACAATGTAGTACGCGTGGTGCCGGCGTAGAATAGTATCACCCCGTATCTTACCCGTGGGTGTTTTAAAAAGCAATTAAGAGATTTGTTGGGACATGATGTGTATTGCAATTTTAGCTGACAGACTGATAACCTGTCAGTATGCAAAGCGGCACATCATGCTGAACAACTTTTGCTTTGGAGCCAGTTTACATACAAGGTGTTCCAAAGGAAATACATTAAATTGGAGACGACGTGTAGGCCATCATACCGAATAATTTTCATTATGGGGCCAAGTCATGAAAACCCCTTGTTTAGAAGTAATAAGCAACTTAAATTTGATAAATTTAATTGAGGGTCACATTATGAAAAGACCTTTATTGAAGAAAACCTTTATTTATGTCATGTTGCCTTCTTGTAAAAACTTTTAAAATTACCGCCGCAACAGTTGCCAAGGCAACGGTTATGGCGGTAATTTAGTTGCCAAGGCAACAGTTCTGGTGTAGATCAAGTTCAAATGTCATGTTCGTCAAGAACTGACACAACTGACACTAGAGACTCTACTGGGTTATTTTATTTATTTATTAATATGGACTTCTACACAATAAAGGTAATTCTGCCAGTGTCAGTATAATAAGATTCCAGCGCTGCTGCGCCGGACGGTTGGTGGCTTCAGCAGAATGATGATAGTGTCTTCTGCAGGAACCAGGGACGTCCTCTTGATACCATCCGGAAATGTAGAGTAGGTTCTTCAATTTCAATTTCTCCGTTCCATGTTTACGTTGGGCACTTGACTGATTAAATTACTATCAAAATAAGCAGTGAAAATACGAATAAACTTGAAATAAAAAATTTAAAATTGAAAAATACGTCTGCCATTGACGGGTGAAACAAAAGAAGTCCCTCTACTGGGTTCTCTGATTGGCCCTTTCTCTTTCCGTCTCTATGGGTGCTCAAGTCAAAAGAAATTTTTAGTTTGAGGCGGCAATAAAATAAAGTTGACATCAACAAAGAGATCTTTTATCTTAAGTTTTCGTTTAAATTTAAAACATAGACAACTATGTTTCAAACTTTTTGGAAGATTCAAAACCAATAAGTTAAAAATGCAAGGTTGCAATCTTGGATAAGGGGTAATGCATAATGGTTGTATTAAATGTAGGCATTAAGTCTGTATGAAAATTTCAACTTTTTAATCGTTATGAATTCAAACTTGGTGCCATAATGGAAATTGTTCAGTACGATGGTCTACGCAATCTCTCCAATTTAATGTATTTCCTTTGGAACACCTTGTAGTTTCCTGGTGGTCTACATCATGTAGATCCTAAAAATCCGAAAAAGTTTTGTCTAGCAATTTCAATGCCTAATTTTACGAAGATCGGTTTATCTGCATCATAAGAGTAACCAGCCAAGCGGTAAATTTTCCCGTGGAAATAAAATATTTTCAGCCAGTTTTATGTCAGCTCTCTAATAGTAAAAGGTTCAGTGGATTCGGAATTTAAGGAGTACAACACTAAATCTAAATATTAAAAATCTATTCTTAGAGTGTCTTAGATGTAGATATAATATTGAAGTATGGAAATACCTTATTTAAAGTTCACTGCAGTGTAGGTACTAACTGCAACATACAATGCATATTGCTCGGGCTAGCAATAAGTTAGTATTAGGAAACGTTTAGTGTAAGCAATTTTATTATACCTACGAGAGAGTTCACGTTTGCCCACCAACTAAAGCGTATCTTTTCCTAACTACCCCCTAAGGCGCTCATCTTATATTTGAATAGATATGAACTTTTTGCAAATGGGCACCACGCATGACGATGCTGAATCATATAGCATAGTGGTACCTACCAGTGGCGAATGGTGACATTTTAACGTAGGAAGGCCGAAGACAAAAATGTACTGAATGAGAGTCGATTGATATGAGCATTTTGTAAACTGAAAGGTAAGCCACTACCAAATAGGTACCTTAGGAAAATTTTAAATCTATCGTATCAAGCGAATGCAGCGTTACTTAGTAGATAGTATGCACCTAAGTCACCTACATAACTTTTACATGATTGAACGTCTACTTTCTAGGTCAGTAGGTATGCGTGTTGGAATTAACAAGTGTAATTTAATTAGATTCAATAACGCGCAATACAGGCTACATAAAAAAAAAAAAAAAAAAAACGCGCATGTGAATTTGGTATAACGCAGAGTTGATAAGTAAAAATCATAATTCGTGGGGACTCTTAGACAAATAATGTGCAAGGTACGCTACCAAATTATAATAAAAAACAAGTTTTTGGAAAACTTGCAAAATTTTCCACCGCAGGCAGGATTTGAACCTGCGACCATCGGCATCAGTACTGCCGAAGTGCCGACGCCCTAACCAACTAGGCTACCGCTAGTTTTCCAAAAATTGTTTACCTAACACGAGAAGTGTTTTAAAATTTGGTATTCAATAAAAATCAAGGTTAAATTGCCTCTAAATAATAAGTATACCTAGTCTCTAAAAACATATCTAATCCTTCTTCAGGTAGGTATATTTACTTTTATTTATTTTAAAATTTTGTAGTTTTCAAATTACGAGATGAATAACACATAACGCCTTTCGACGAAGCTTATATAGTCATGGTCCTTAGCAAAAAAATACTGTTTTGCCGGCACAGTTGATGCCGCTTTGCTCAGCGATACTAGGGACCATTGTAAATGATTCCATCCGAGGAAATGAAAAATCCATCTACTGGATTTCAAGATGGCGGATCTTCGTTTTTTTGTATGGCACTAAAAAAATAATTCTTCTGGAGCCCATCGTGTGGGGTATCAAATGAAAGCGCTACACGAGACGATTTCAAAAATATATTGTGATAATACATTTCAGTTACCCTTTTAGAAAAAAATCAAGTTACATTTTCAAAAGTAGTCAAAACATGCCAAGTTTGAGGTCCAATAGGTACAAAATGGCTGACATAAAGTTTGTTAAAAGTATGCCAAATGATCCACCATATCCTTAAAAATAACGTCACCAAAGGAATTTCGAAAATAATAAGATTTCATGTATATTTTGCAATAGAAAGTAGATAATTGGGAACTCCAGTAGGTTAGTAAGAACTGCTTGTGTGAATCCAAAAAATGTTTTAGAACCAATTCTTCTCATGATTCCTTTTATACTCAAAGCTAGATAATTATGTGCTGGATCACTTTGAATCTGCGGGCACGGTTGTGCCCCCGCCAAGTCGAGTAAAAAGCGGATTCGCCATAAGTATCTAACATGTTTTTCTCTACTCGTGAAATCGTGAAATCTCACTTCTGTAGGCCTGCTGTAACATGCTGTAAAAATCTTTTAGTACCTATGGGTTTGAAAGCTGTCAAATTTGGTCTAGGTATTGGAACGACAGTTCTCTAGGTCAATATTTTATTTACGAAAATCTCATATTTTTTTACCGTAGAGGTAATGAGTAGTGACACTTTTTTAAATTATGTTTTGATGGTATCTCATATCTTTACATACGTCGCTTTTTGGAATCACTTCTTGCATTTAGATACAATATGTCTTCTAAAAGTGCTCTAGAAGTTTGATGGTTGGTCCAATGAGCAATAGATTCAAAGGAATTGAATGAAAATTGTAATATGCGACGTTTATTTACACTTGACTGTTTGGGTTTTTAGGGTTTCGTAGTCTACTAGAAACCCTTATAGCTTCGTCAAGTCTGTCTGTATGTCTGCTGTCTCTCTGTCTGTATGCCGCGCCCTCATAACTCCGTTAGTATTAGAGTTATCGACATCAAATTTGGTGTGAAGATAGATCGTGTTGACCCAAATTTAGAAATGTTGAGAAAAAAATATTTTAATTGTTTTTGGACCCCTTCCCATACATGTGAAAGGCAAGCAAAAGGCAAACATTTTTTTTTCTCTTGTAATATTAAGTAAGGTATCGTTGAATAGGTCTTTTAAAACTAAGTGGAGGTTTCTTTGAAACAAAGTCTCTAAAATATTTTTGTCTCGAGATATTTGATTTTAAAGGGGGCGTTTTTGAGCCATAATTTGTTTCAGCTGTAACTTCTAAAGTAGACATGATAAAAATTTGAAAAAATAAAGAAATATTTTTCTTAAAATAAAGTTACCATGAAAACTATAACACTTAAGATTAAGGAAATATAAAAGATTTTCAATTTGCGGTTGGTAACCATATAGCTGCAAACAAACCAGCAACAAAATTAACTTTGTAATGCTGAAAGACCTTATTAATATTTAAACGTTGACTACGAAACCCTATTTGTGAGCGTGTGTGACGCGCTCTTGGCCGCTTTTTTTTTTAAACTCAGGACTCAAATGTTATCCAAAATATCATTATACAGGTGTCGAAATTTGCCTGAACTGTTTCGAAAGAAACATTTTTATTTTAGTTAACCATTTATTGTACACAAAAGCAAACACATAAAAAATACAAAAATAAAAATGACACAACAAGCACTACTTATTTCTAACAAGAAATTTGTTACAGCAGCTTAAGAAGTGAGATAGCATTCATGAGTAGAAAAAACAAGGTAGATAACTATGTCAAACCCGTTTTTTACTCGACTTGGCGGGGGCACAACCGTGCAACCGCAGATTCAAAATGATCCGATACATCATTCATTATCTAGCTTTGAGTATAATAGCAATCATGAGAATATTTGGATCTAAAACATTTTTGGAGGCGCGCAAGCAGTTCTTACTAACCTACTGCAAATGATCTACTTTCTATTGCAAAATATACATTAAATCTTATTATTTTCGAAATTCCTTTCGTGACGTTATTTTTAAGGATATGGTGGATCATTTGGCATACTTTTAACAAACTTTATGTCAGCCATTTTGTACCTACTGGACCTCAAACTTGGCATGTTTTGACTACATTTTAAAATACAACTTGATTTTTTTCCAAAAGGGTACCTGAAATGTATTACAGCGATATATTTTTGAAATCGTCTCGTGTAGCGCTTTCATTTGATACCCCACTCAATGGGCTCCAGAAGAATATTTTTTTTAGTGCCATACAAAAAAACGAAGGTCCGCCATCTTGAAATCCAGTGGATGGATTTTTTATTTCCTCGGATGGAATCATTTACAATGGTCCCTAGTATCACTGAGCAAAGCGGCATCAACTGTGCCGGCAAAACAGCTTCCGGGTGATATTTGACCGTACCCGCTTAGACTAATACAAGAATCGAGAAATATAAAATCAACTTTATTATTTTGCAAACCGATTAAAAAGAAGAGTGTTAACTTTGATGTAAGCCCCGGCACGAGACGCTCTCGCCCCATTCTTCTATACCTCCTTTGCAAACTCTTAAGTAGGTAAGTTAACATACTCCTCAGTGAGTTCAACGCTTAGACTATACATAAGCAAGCTGTAGAGTGCGCTTTACTAGGTATGAACCGGTGGCACTACTAAGAACACAACCTCTCTGTCCATCAGTAGCAAAACGCCAGTGACGTCACTATTGAACCTCTATTGCTTCTCATATATGTGACGTAGGTATGTATGGAACAACTGCTTACGTTGGACAGTACGGCGCGGGGCGATACGCGCACTCTATATCTTGCTTATATATATTCCCTTTTAAGGTTCAAGGACTCGAACTGTAAAGAATATGAACAATACTAGAAACAGATCCCGTGTTTGTTTGTTTGTTACTCTTTTACATCGCGTCAGGAACATGGAACTAAAAGTTAGTAGTTTAGTAACTAAGTCCGACTTAGCACGTCCAATTTGTTAAATTGCATTTTACCTACCCACTGAATCTGACTAAATCCTTTAGGTAACGTTTCTGTGGATATCATGATCATAAATACCTGCGTGTGAAACAGCGGGCAGTAAAATTTATCGAAATAACGTTTTCACCCGCTGCAACTCATTTTCCCACGGGAACAAGGAATTTTCCCAGCATCTGTTTTACATTTAAATCTTCCTTTTGAAACACACTATCTATTACAAAAATCCGAATCAAAGTCCGTTGCGCGCTATATGACGAGTTATCGAATCCCACGACAGACAGACAGACAGAGAAACGCACAAAGCGACTTCTTTTTCATACTATGTATTGAAACAGCAAGTTAGCTTGTTACCTTTCCAGAAACATACCTGAGTTTATGAAAGTTGGAAAGAATCTTCTAACTGGTGCCCATTACAAATTAGTACTTATCGGAAAAATGTTGCCTTGGATTTGATATTAGGTACCTACCTACTTACGTTTTTATTGTACAGCAACGTACGTCAAATATATCAAATAGTTTATTTGCATGAAATAAGAATTCACATAGTTTACAATTTATTGCAGCTGTTTGATTCCGAAGCTGATCTTAGCGCAGTGGAAGCAAATTAAAGTTATCTTAAAATCTAAAACTAAATGGTCGATCAGCCTCGGAACAACATTTGACTACGATTCGTAGTGCTCTTTACTATAGCTAAATAAAATAAATTTAATGAGAGAATTTTGTTCCGGAAAGTTTCCGGCCGAGAAATTCTTGTTTCCAAAATCTACTTAAACAGGGCCCAGCAACGAATTGCTTACCGTGCGAACCATGACGCCTTTTCTTTGTGAGTTTAAGTATGACAGGAATCAGGTATTCAGGATATTTTAGGAGCGCAGGAATAGGGAATAACCTAAACTCACAGCACTGGAACATCCGCTCGTTCTCGAACTCCTTTCCTCCAATTTGCACTATAGTTCACAGTTCGACATCACATAATGTTTTTTAACACAGAATAACTAAAAGATTTCTCTCCGAATGAGAAATCGGCCCCGTTGGCCTCCAATCATTTATAATTAAAATACGTAGCTATCGGCAGCCACGACGCGAGCCAACGAAAAGTGAGGTTATATGCTGCCTGCGGTCGCGTGACTCTCAATCAAAGCGCCGGAACCAAAATCACCTGGTTCACCTCCCCACCGAACAGGGAAAACCACACGAGAAAACCGAAAGCACATTAAATTACACCACTTATAACCAATACTCGCATCAACGACGCGGGCGACGGCAGAGGACGTGACAATGACAGAGCAGTGTTGCCAGCACCGCGCGCCCATTTTATACGAAAACTAAACATTCACCCGCCCCGGACCGACCCATCGGTCCGCTCTATGCATGGCAGGCGTGATAATGTAGCTACTGCTCGCTTAAGGACTGAATCCCCCACCTGAACTTCTGCAACTCGAGGAGTGCCATCACTACCCGGAAACAGGTTGAGAATGCGCCCCCGGCGCCAACGCAGTGGCGGTAGGTTGGCATCCTTAACCAGAACGAGATCCCCAATGCAGGGGGGTTCAGTCCTGTCCGTCCACTTAAGGCGTTGCTGCAGAATGTGCAAGTACTCAAGCGACCAACGCTTCCAAAAGTTTTGAGTCATTTGCTGCAACAACTGA